CCTCGCTGGGCGGAGTTGCTTAGGTCGGGAGTTGCTATCTTTGACCTAGACTTTGATGTTATTATCTCTGCCATGTATGCTTTGTCTTTTAGAGCTGAGGGTGACTGTTACTGGTGTGTGCCGCCTGACCCAGGTATAGCTGCTGCTGCTCTAGGTGCTAGTGCGTCTGGTACTCCCCCTGGTACTGCGCCTGCTGAGGCCCTGCACACCTTCACGTTGGACTCCGGCGCCTCGCGCTGTTTCTTTCGTGACAGCACCACTCTCACTCCTCTTCCTGCACCTGTTCCGGTCAGACTGGCTGACCCCTCTTGGGGCCCGGTCGTTGCCAGTTCCTCCACTGTCCTCCCGTGTCCGGCGGTTCCGTCCGGCTCCCTCCCCTCGTTCTCTACGAACTTGGTGAGTACCGCTGCCCTTCAGGATGCGATGGTCACTACCACCACTCCTGGGGGTCAGCGTGTGTCGATCTGCACGTGCACACGTACGGGGCGTCACCTGGCTACGTTCACTCGTCGGCCAGGGTCGAGTCTGTACACACTGGCTACCGAGCCTCCTCAGGTCGCTGCGTCTGCTCAGGTGTCCGCGTCAGGTCAGGTAGCCGCCTCTTGCTCGTGTCGCTTCCTGTCGCACCAGACTCTTCTTTGGCACCACCGCCTTGGTCACCCCTCCCTGCCACGCCTTCGTGGCATGCACTCCTGTCTCCTTGTCTCTGGTCTCCCCAGGTCTCTGCCTCCCCTGCCGCCCTCACATGTCCCGCCCTGTCTTCCTTGCGTCGAGGGGCGGCAGCGCGCCACTCCTCACTCCTCCTCGTTTCCCCCGACGACTGCTCCCCTGCAGACCCTCCACATGGACGTGTGGGGCCCAGCCCGCGTCAGTGGACAGGGCCGCGAGCGCTACTTTCTGCCGGTAGTTGACGACTACACGCGGTACACCACAGTCTTCCCCTTGCGCAGCAAGGGTGAAGTCTCTGCTGTCTTGATCCCTTGGATCCGCACAGTCCGTCTCCAGCTGCGCGAGCGGTTCGGCCAGGACCTTCCTGTCCTGCGTTTGCACTCTGACAGAGGTGGTGAGTTCTCCTCCGACCTCTTGCGGGACTTTTGTCGTGGGGAGGGCATTCTCCAGTCGTTCACGCTTCCGGACTCCCCTTAACAAAATGGGATTGCTGAGCGCCGCATTGGCTTAGTCATGGAGGTCGCTCGTACCTCCATGATTCATGCGGCCGCTCCCCATTTTCTGTGGCCGTTTGCGGTCCGGTACGCTGCGCATCAGCTCAACCTCTGGCCCCGTGTCTCCTTGCCGGAGACCTCGCCCACACTGCGTTGGACGGGGAAGGTTGGCGATGCGTCGGTGTTCCGGGTCTGGGGTTCTCGTGCCTTTGTTCGCGATACGTCCGCGGACAAGCTCTCCGCCCGCGCCATTCCCTGCGTCTTCCTTGGATTTGTCCCTGACGCGCCTGGCTGGCAGTTTTACCACCCCACCTCGCGCCGTGTCCTCCCTTCTCAGGACGTCACGTTCGACGAGTCAGTTCCCTTCTACCGGCTCTTCCCCTACCGCTCTGCCCCTTCCCCGCCCCCGCCGCTCTTCCTTGCTCCCGGTCCACCTCCGGTAGACCCCCTTCCGCCCCAGGGTCCTGCTCCCTCGGGAGTGTCTCAGGTAGACCCTCTCCCTGGTACTGCGCCTGTTCAGGTGCTGCTCCAGGTGCTGCGTCTGGGGTTGCTGCGTCTGGGGGTGCTGCGTCTGGGGGTGCTGCGTCTGGGGGTGCGGAGCCGGAGGGTGCGGGGTCTGAGGGTGCTGGGTCTGGGGGTGCTGAGCCTGAGGGTGTTGAGCCTGGGGGTGCTGAGTCGGAGGGTGCGGAGCCTGGGGGTGCTGAGTCGGAGGGTGCGGAGTCTGGGGGTGCTGAGCCTCAGGGTGCTGCTTCGTCTGGAGGTCCTGCTGGTGCTTCACCGCGACTGTCCTCGCAGCAGCTACGTGAGTGGCTTGTTCAGCGCCCACACCGTCGGAGTGGACCTCCTGGGGCTGGCGAGCCTGGAGACACTGGAGCTGGAGGTGCTGCTGTTACTACTGGAGCTGGAGACCCTACGGAGCCTGGAGCAGCTGGCGCCAGAGGCGCTGGAGCTGGTGTAGCTGGAGTTGGAGGCCCTGGCGCAGGAGGCGCTGGAGCTGCAAGAGCTGGAGCTGTTGACCCTGGAGCTGGAGGTGCTGGAGGCACTGTGCGACCGCGCCCGTACTTCGTTCCCCTGCTTCAGCAGGTTCTTGGTGTCCCGTCTTCTACTGGTCTTCCTCCTCCCTTCCTGTGTCCACCGCCTGACCAGTCGCAGCCGCCGTTACAGCCAGCCTCCCCACTGCCTGTTCCCTCTCCTTACACTGAGCAGTCCGGAGGTCTTACAGAGCATCGTGAGCCTACGTCTCGTCCTGTCTCGCCTGTTTGCACTGCTCCTCGCGCTCCTCGTTCGTGTCCTCCTCCTGTCCCAGGCACACACACCATGGCACTCCGTCCTTCCTCTGTTCCACTGCGTGTTCCTCTGCCTGCTCCTCCTGAGTCCTCTCTTCCTGAGGTCCCTGACCCTGAGTCTGACCGAGCGCGTGCTGCCAGTCCCACTGTCGCTCGTCTCCTTGCCACTGCTGTGACTGACCCGTCCTTTGAGTCTGCTGCTGCTTCTGCTCTCGTTGCTGAGCTACTTGACTTTGCTGCTGCCTGTCGTCTCGACTACGCCTCTGCTCTAGTTGCTCAGTCTGTGCCTGCCAGTCCTCCGTCCGTCGGGGGTGAGTGTGCTCTTGGTACGGACGTCCTTGAGGACAGGCAGGAGGACTTTGAGTGTCTTGCAGCTGCTGTACCTCGTTTCGCTTCCTTGCTACTTGCCTATGAGGGAGACCCGGATGCTCCAGACATCCCGTCCCCGCGCTCTTACGCAGAGGCGATTACGGGTCCTTACTCCTCTCAGTGGCAGGCAGCTATGGATGCCGAGATGGCATCCTGGAAGTCCACAGGCACTTACGTCGACGAGGTTCCCCCACCTGGGGTGAACATAGTCGATGGCATGTGGATCTTCAGGATGAAGCGGCCGCCGGGTTCTCCGCCTGCCTTCAAGGCGCGTTACGTTGCTCGAGGTTTCAGTCAGCGACAGGGAGTTGACTACTTCCAGACCTTCTCCCCCACCCCAAAGATGACTACTCTTCGGGTGTTGCTGCACGTAGCTGCTCAGCGTGACTACGAGTTACACTCCCTGGACTTCAGTACAGCCTTCCTGCAGGGCAGCCTGCACGAGGAGATCTGGCTGCGCCGACCACCTGGTTTCACTGGGACGTTTCCTGCAGGTACCCAGTGGAGCCTCGGCCGGGCAGTCTACGGTCTCCGCCAGGCGCCTCTCGAGTGGCACGATACACTCAGGACTACACTTGCGGCTCTTGGGTTTGTTCCTTCTACAGCAGACCCGTCGCTGTTTCTACGCACCGACACCTCGCTGCCGCCCTTCTACGTCCTAGTGTACGTCGACGACCTCGTCTTTGCCACGGCTGACACTGAGGCACTGACCCTTGTGAAGTCCGAGCTGCAGAAGAGACATACCTGCACTGACCTGGGTGAACTGTGCAGCTATCTTGGCCTGCAGTTCACCCGGGACAGAGCACGGCGCACCATCACACCGACTCAGTCACACATGGTGCACCAGGTCCTTCAGCGCTTCGGCTTCCAGTACTCCTCGCCACAGCTCACTCCTCTGTCTACCAGCCACTCTCTCTCAGCTCCACCTTCGGACGAGTCCGTAGAGCCGAGTGGTCCATACCCAGAGCTTGTGGGTTGCCTCATGTACCTGATGACTTGCACACGACCTGACCTCGCGTACCCTCTCAGCCTTCTGGCTCGCTACGTGGCTCCCGGTAGGCACCGAAAGGTGCACTGGGATGCTGTGAAGAGGGTACTGCGTTACCTGTGCAGTACGTCGGGCATGGGGCTTGTGCTTGGAGGACGGGGTCCTGTTGTCCTCACTGGTCACGCAGACGCCTCCTGGGTTGACGACTCAGCTACGCAGCGATCGTCGCAGGGTTACACCTTCAGCCTTGGGTCCGGCTCGGTTTCCTGGCGGTCTACCCGCTCGTCTTCAGTTCTCAGCTCCAGCTGTGAGGCTGAGATCTACGCCGGAGCCATGGCTTCTCAGGAGCTACGCTGGCTCACCTTTTTGCTGACCGACCTGGGAGAGCAGCCTCATTCGCCTCCAGTCCTGTACGTAGACAACAAGGCCATGATAGCCTTGTGTCAGGAGCGCAGACTTGAGCACAGAACGAAGCACATCGCTCTGAGATACTTCCTTGCTCGAGAGTTGCAGCAGCGTGGTCAGCTTCGTCTAGCGTACATGGCCACTCGGGCCAACACTGCTGATGTCTTCACCAAGGCACTTCCGCCTGGTGACCATCAGCGCTTTGTTACTGTGTTAGGCCTTGTGCCTACTTTGCCTCACTTACTTACTGCCTGACTCTGCCTGTACTGTGATCTATCTATATACCTGCATGCTTGCACTTGTTAGGGTATGATCACTGTATTGTTTGTTCTCTTTATATAACTCTTCATGTGAACTGGCCTTGTGGCCCTTTGCTTGTGCTCGGACTGTGTGGTGACTTTGTGATCCACCCTGAGCTTGCTTTGCTTTGCTTCTTCTCTTGACTGGTCTTGTGACCATTGCTTGTTCTGGCTATCCCCCACTTCGCCTATGGGGGTGTGTCAAACATATATGCTTAGTTATATCTAGGCTTAGTTTATGTGTTTATAGTTGTCTAGGCTATAGTGGGTTTAGCCTTAGGGGGTACATATTTCTCTCGACATTCTACTTGTACCCCTTCCCTTTTCCTAGTCAATCATTCTCGCCTACTATTCTCACACCCGTCGTGGTGCGCATTGCCTGAGCTCTTGTACGCTCGATACTTTCCGAGAATGTCATCGAACCTATCACGCAATCACATGAAACCGGGCGACCATTAGTGACTCCGACATCGGCCGAAGGGTGTCCGACTTATCGTGTTTTTGGAAGGTACGCGCCTCGTGCCCATATCACCGTCCACATCCCTGTCGGCAAAATCTTGACCTCCTCCCACACCTTCCTCCACTTCTCCAACTCGGTTTCCTCCAAGTCGGTGAGCTCGGCCATGAGGACCTTGCTGACGTAACCGTCGTAGACGATGTACGCAATCGAGTGCAGGTACGCCGGCTCCATCTTGTCGTGCGACTTGCCGATGTATCGATTAGCGCCGAGCACCTTAATCTCGCCCACCCACCCTAGACCGTCGCCCGAGTTGTCGTGGCGAATGCCATGACCCTTCCGTCCTTTCTCCTTCTCCTTCTCCTCCTTTTCCTTCTCCTTCTCCTTCTTCTTCTCCTTCTCCTTCTCCACCGCCTTCTCCTTCTCCTTCTCCTTCTCCGCCGCCTTCTCCTTCCCTTTCTTCACCGACGTACCCTCGCCAACCGACTTCTCCTCCTGATTCTCCTCCGCCTTCTCCTTCCCTTTCTCCACCGAATTCTCCTTTGCCTTCTCCCTCCCTGTCTCGGCCGTCATCGCCCGTGTTTTCCTCTGAGAGCTCGCCCTCCCTTTCCATGTGTTGGCCTTCCCCTTCCGTTTCGACTCTCCCTCGCCGACAGCATCAGTGGTTGTCTTTGGCTCCGCTGAACCACCGGGGGGACTCGCCGAGGGCTCCACATGCGTCGTGTCCAAGATGGCCAAAGCAGGGGGGTGCCTGGGGCGTTTTACCGCTTCCAACAGGTTCTGGATGGCAGCTATGTCGGTGTCGTTGTGGCCTTTCGACGCCCGTGCAAGATCAACGGCCCCGCCGCCGGTGGCTAGCGCTGCCCTCACGCCCTTCTCCGCCGCCTCGTTTACCGACGTCGGCGTCGCGCTTGAGCCTGCTTCCGGCTGAGTCCGTGTTGGCGCCGGCGCACTACGTGCGCCTAACCGGGCGCGAAGCAATGCGGACTTTGGGTCCGCAGGAGGACGGGCGGCGACCAGAGGCGCGGTAGGTGGGGCACTGGGCGTTGTGGCGGCGACCTGCGGAGTGACAGAGCGACGTGCTGTTTCGGCGGGGGGCGGCATCGACCAAGGGAGGCTACTGCACGTCCTTGCGATGGGCCTCCATGCGGTGAAGCATTTCCCTGAGCGCGTTCGCCGCTGCGGGCACTTTGACAGTTAGCCGCAGCATCCTTCGTGTCGCCCTTGGCGGCAGACGGGCCTGCTGGAGCTGGAGTAGCGGCAAGGGCCGGCCCATTGTTGTTGGCGGCTGACGGGCTGACCGGCGTGCTGCTAGCCACAGGGGGTTTACGGGGAATCGACGTGGTCCCCGCCACCCTGACAGACGGTCCCTTGACGGTTCTGGCGCCGCCATCTATCGCCGTTTGAGTGGTTGGGATCTCCTTGTCGCTCAAGCCTTTCCCGCCGCTCGCCAGACCATGGGGCTTCTCAGCAACCAGGGGCGAGGCTGATGGTCCAGCGTCTTGCGCGGCAACCTCGTCGGCATGGCCCCCATCTGCACTCCCGATTCCATCACCCTTGCTGTGCGACCTTATCACCTTGGCCCCGTTCTTCTTGAGCTGGTCGACCACGCTCTCACCTCGAGTCCGCGAGCCGCCTGGACCCACCGCGCCGACACCGCGGCTCCCATCGGCTCCCTTGCTCTGCTTCATGCTCCCCGCATCATCTCCGCCGCCCGCCCTTTTCTGGCCCTGCTTGTCGGCCTCCCTTCGTTGCGCGGGGTCGGCGTCATTGGCCGACGGCGACGACCCACGCCGACCAGGCGCCACATTGCCGATTACCTCGGTTATGAGCTTTAACCCGGACGCAACAAACGACTGGTGGGTGGCCTCCGTCACCACCTTCAACACGTCCGCCTTGAACGACTTCATGAGCTCGTCCGGGAAGGCTGGCGTGGGCTGCGGCGGCGGCAGCGGCACGGCGATGGTGCGAGTTACCGTGGCGGCAATGTTGGTCTGCGCGGCGGCTAGGTGCTTAGAGATGTAGTCCTCCAAACCCAGCTTCGCATCGTCCACCACCACTTCCACGTGGTTGGCCAAGGCGGTGACCGCTTTTGCGCGTTCAACTACCATACTTCCCTCTGGACCGTCGATTTCCGCCAACCACGTCGACGCCTGTTCCGCGAAGGACTTCATCGCCTTCCACGATTTGTCCATGTAGCTGGTGATGTTGTCCGCGATGGTTGTCAACACGGCCGACGTTGCATCTAGCAGCCGTTTCGGCGCATTATGGTCGGAGACGGAGACCTTGTCGGCCAACGACTGGAGCTTGTCGAGGATTCCACGTATCCCCAATGCAAACCTGTCCACCCGACCCCTTTCCTCTCCGTGCGCCTTCTCCGGGCATTTTCTGCCGTCAACCGCCTGTTCTCCTGTCGCAGCTGCTCGACGACGTCCAACGGTGCCTGCCGACCAGATGCGGAGGAACCGGGATGACCGCGCACCGCCTTCTTCTTCCTAGACCGCTCCCCCCGGCCTTCCCTGCGGTGGTCTCGGTAGGCCCGTCCACGCCCGTTTGCTTCGCGGCCGCGGGGTTATCCCCTTCTCCAACGGCCTCGAGGTCGACAACTTCCTTCGCGTCGCCAACCACATCGCCGACCATGACCTTTTCACTCCCCCCGCGAGCCGCCTCCACGCCGACTCTCTCCTCGTCGGCGTCCTCCCCTCCCTCGTTCACAACATCCGCCGACCTCCCACCCGTTTCCGCCGCTCCCTCTAAGTACTACACCTCAATTTCCTCCAACTCCCACTTGACCTCTTCCTCCTGCTTCCCCTCTTACTGCTTCTCTGCCTCCTCCACCACCTCCTCCTCCTCCTCCTCCTCCTCCTCCTCCTCCTCCTCCTCCTCCTCCTCCTCCTCCTCCTCCTCCTCCTCCTCCACCTCCATCTCCTCCTCGTCCTCCTCCTCTTCCGCCGAGCCCCCCTCCTCCTCCTCCTCCTCCTCCTCCTCCTCCTCCTCCTCCTCCTCCTCCTCCTCCTCCTCCTCCTCACGATTGTCATGGTCCTCTTCCTGATCCTCGTTATCATCCTGATGGACGTCCTCGTCCTGGTGCTTCTCTGCGGTCCCAGTCACCGCCCTTCCTGCCTCCTCATCTTCCTTGTTGATGCCACCTCCAGGCTCTCCGATCAAAGTCCCACGCGCATCATCGACGGTGTGGGCGACACCTACTGCTTGGGATGCCGAAGGGGCCTCCTTGTCGTCGTCGTCACAAGCGTCGGCAGCAACTCCGACATGGCCCGACCGTTTGAGAGCGACGTGCTCCTTGACGAATGTTATCATCCCATTCAGCAGCCCCTTCAACCCCGAAACGTTGACCTTGTCCATGCTGGTCACACTGCAACGGAGGGCGCTGGTCAGGAGATCCATCCTCCTCACCACCCAGCACAACGCGCTCATTGCTAGCAGGCCGGAGCCCGCGTCCTCGTCCCGGACGGCGTCGGGCACTTTCTGCATACAACAGTTCAGAGCGCAAGGATGAGCACCGCGTTCGGCAATCGCATCGCGCAAGGATGACACACTATAGGACGGTAAATCGTTCGGAACTCACATCTCGAACGGGTTGATCGCAGTCGGCGAGCCTGTCCTCCACCTCTTCATCAGAAGGCTTCGCCCACTCCCACTTCCTACCATCACGCCCAAGCTCGGCCAGTACCGCCGCCCGGAAAAACCTGAAGCAAGATGGCACAGATTGTCTGTGAGCATGGTTAACGCTGCGCGGCGAAATTGCATGCGTCGTCGACTACACTATCGAGCTCACTTTAGCACGCGGATCTCCTCGTCGCGATGCCACTGCTTCACGGTCTGCGGATCAACGTGCCGGATCGAGGTCCTGATCTTCTCCCCCCCGGCCTTCAACAAGTCGTCGGGGTACATGATGACAACGATGCTGCAATGTGCTCCTGGAAGTGGTGCGATGCTGCACAGGCAAGGCACGACTACGTCGTTCAGAACAGAGCATCATCATAGGATGCAACACACATCATGACAACTTCGAACCAGCTCACCTCTAAGTCAGGGGGATAACCGCTATGTCGGCGCCGAAAACCGTCGCAAAGCATGTGTGGTCCGCCTGACCCATCGCTGCCCGAAGCCGGCCGAGTCCTATCGACCACAATCGCATGTTGGCCGGCGCCGCGCGAGTCCATCCGTGCCTGCACGCATGCAATGGGTATTAGAAGTGAGTGAGGAGGTGTACGACACGACGGTGGATACGTTGGTGTAGGAACCGCCAACTGACGGGGATGGTAATAGTACGACGGTGCACCACCCTCGCGATGTTGTAATCAATGGAGCCGACCAATGCGGGCCTAAACCATGTGCCGACACCGACCTACTGTAGATAACCCTGAATCCTAAAGTCGGCGTCGACGTGAACTGAACTAAACCCTAAACTCGTAGCGCCACCCTAGACGTGGGACAACCCTAACACCGACGCTACGTCGACCAGCAAGGTATGTAGAGGTCGACGCTGACATCCCCATACGGAGACTCACTTGAGGCCGAATCCCAAGCAACGGGCATTGAACTCTAGCCTATGGTCTACGAGGACGGCGTAGTCGTGTTCCTCGAGCTTGGCAGTGAGTCCACTACCGAGGTCAAGATACAGAGGGAAGTCCTGCGAAGTCGGCGCCGCTTCGCCGGCTTTCGGGTCGGCCTCAATGGCGGGGAAGGGAAGTGACTACAGGCTAAGGGACGAGAATGTGGGAGTAATGTTGAAAGAGAAACGAGATGCCGAAAATGAGGAGCGATGCCTCCTTCCACCAAGAAAAGGGAGTCGGTGCCCCACAGGCCGGTTGAGGCATCGCCCAGGGTTCGTGGTGCCTGGCTCGATAGGGTTTGGCGGGCTGCATGCACAAGTGACACAAGTGCTTCTTCGCCGCCGAGCCAGCACGTCGACTTCGCGTCCCCTGGCTTCGCTCGGTGAGGGGACGCAATTTCGCATGCGCGCGGTGCGACGTTTCAGCCAACACGTGTCGACTTCGCAACGGTTCGCGAAAACCCTGCGCCGCGATGCGAGCAATCCAATTTCGTAGAGCTCGAAATTTCGCATGCACCCGATGCGAACCCGCGTGCGAACACATGGCGTCACCGCAACAGGTCGCGAAATTGTCGAGCGTCCCGAGGGGAGCACCCGAATTTCGCATGGCCCTCGCCTGCCCATCCGGGCAGGTCGCGAGGGTCACTAGGACGTCGCGGGCAGCAGGCACGGGAGGGCTGCCTTCGCGCGAGGGTTACTTTCCCTCGCGCGAGGGCTCGCCAGCTCGCCGCCCCCACCCGGTAACGTGGGGCGCTGTTCAATCATGCAGGGGGGTTGCGGGGCGGCGGTCGTGCGCTCAGCCCCGCCCTGGGCCACGCTGGCGGGCCCGCACGCGCGTCAGTTGCCCGCCTCGCCAGGCCTGGCTCCGACTGTTGTAGAGGACTCTCCTCTAGTTGGAAGGAACTGGGATTTGAACTAAACAATAGGGCAATCTGAAAGCTTTCCAACGAGCCATAGATCACCTCGATCGCCTAAGTATCGAGCGAGATATAGGCGTTTATGTGCTAGGTAGTGCTCTTGGAATCAAGGAGAGGAGCTCTCTGGATTTTGTAGTCGAATGAATCACGTACGAAGTGATTCTCGATTTCAGTATGATTCATGCAATACAAAGCAAACAGATTTATAGCATGCAACAAACATCGAGTCGCACAAGAAACCTCGAACCGCTACACTCTCGAAAGTTCGAGTAACATTCCGAAGGGGTGAAATTCGACACTCGAATTTCACCAAACCGAATTCTCCTTGAGTCTCGAATGTTTTTGGTGTTATGATGTGGCACCGAATTGATGGGTCTTCCAAAGTCAATCCTTCAACCCCACGCCAACCTGCAGCTCACTCGAAAGTGAGCACCAAGCCAACACCTTTCGGTGGTTGGGGGCAAAGTTGCCTCACGCAACCTCCAACACTCCCCCTTGCACCCAAACCACTAGGTGTTCAATCCAACATGCCCGTAGCATGCACGGGATGGATCTTTAGGGGGTGGTTCCATGAGAGAATCCGCGTATTCATCATCACCCTTGGTCGTGAAGCAAAATGCCGCACGCTCCTCGTCCAACTCCCCAACGGCTACCGTAGCGTAGTCGGTGTACTTCGTGTTGGGGTGAAGTGTACGTCGCTCGCGGGTCAACACCATTGGTAGGGAGGAAGGTATGGAGGAAGTTGCCGCCGCGGTTGGTGGCACCTCCACGACGTCGTCGTTGCTCTCCTCGTTCTCGCCCCCTCCATTTTCAGCTTCCTTTTCCACTTGTGATGGAACCTCCATCGCTTCATCCTCCTCTCGTGCGGGAAGAACGACGGTGAGTTGCGGCATTGGTTGTTCCTTCGTCGGGAACTTGTCTTCGTCGAAGACCACGTCCCGAGACGTGACGACGCGCCTTTCACCCGAGTCCCACACTCGCCACGCGCGCTCGTTCGCCGCAATTCCCAAGTAGATTGTCGCACGAGCTTTCGGTTGCAACTTGTGGCGAAGGGGATCCAGTACATGGTAGTAGCAAAGGCACCCAAAGGTGCGTAGGCGGGATAGGTTCGGCTTCGTGCCGGTCCATGCTTCGAACGGAGTCATTCTTGGGAGCACCTTTGTCGGCAAATGGTTGCAAATCCACGGCGCTAACGAACTCGCCTCACCCCACAACTCGCTCCCAAGCTTGGAGTGTTGAAGAAGTGAACGAATGGCTTCCACCAACGTGCGATTAAGCCGCTCCGCCGCTCCATTTTGTTGGGGTGTGTAGGGTGTTGTGACTTCGTGCTTAATGCCCTTGCTCTTCATCCATTTCTCAAGCTCCGCGTTTACGAATTCACCGCCACCGTTGGTGCGAATAGCCTTGATCCGCTTCTTGTCGTCGTCGCAAACTTCAAGCGCCCACTCTTGAATCGCCTTGGTCACATCTCCCTTAACCTTCAAGAGCCGGGTCCAACACATCCGCGTCGCGTCGTCAAGCATCACCAAGAGGAACCGCGCTCCTCCCTTTGATGCATGCCGCATCGGTCCACACACGTCCATGTGAACAAGCGCAAGCAGGTCCTTAGCGAGGGGTGAGGTACGGCTACCAAATGGCTTGCGAGCCATTTTTCCTTCAACACACACCGCGCACACGCCCTTCTCCTCGTCGCCGACGGCCACGTCGAATCCCTTCGCAAGTCCTTTGTTGGCCAACTCCTTGACCGAGTCGTAGTTGGCGTGCGCAAGCCGATTATGCCATACCTTGAGAGTCGCCTTGGAGCCGTGCGCTACGTTGGATGAAGCCACTCTCGGGTGCGTCTTGAGTTGGTAGAGTTCTCCTTTGAGAACACCTTGCGTGAATTGCTCCCCCTTCCAAAAGAGGTTCATCTTCGCATCGTCGATGGTGATCTTCACACCCTTCTTCGCGAGTTGAGTGATGGAGAGGAGATTCACCTTCAACCCCGGGACGTGAAGCATACTCGTGATGTCCACCGGTCCGCCATCGACGATGAGACGCGTACTCCCAATTCCGACCACTGGTAGTGACTTGTCGTTTCCGAAGACGACGCGCGTGTTAGATAGTAGCGAGAAAATGGTTTACTAGGAAGGAAGGAGGGGTACAAGTACAATGTCGAGAGAAATTGTGTACCCCCTAAGGCTAAACCCTCTATAGCCTAGACAACTGTAAACACATAAACACATATGTTTGACACACCCCCATAGGCGAAGTGGGGGATAGCCAGAACAAGCAATGGTCACAAGACCAGTCAAGAGAAGAAGCAAAGCAAAGCAAAGCTCAGGGTGGATCACAAAGTCACCACACAGTCCGAGCACAAGCAAAGGGCCACAAGGCCAGTTCACATGCAGAGTTATATAAAGAGAACAAATAATACAGTGATCATACCCTAGCAAGTGCAAGCATGCAGGTATATAGATAGATCACAGTACAGGCAGAGTCTGGCAGTAAGTGAGGCAAAGTAGGCACAAGGCCTAATACAGTAACAAAGCGCTGATGGTCACCAGGCGGAAGTGCCTTGGTGAAGACATCAGCAGTGTTGGCCCGAGTGGCCACGTACGCTAGACGAAGCTGACCACGCTGCTGCAACTCTCGAGCAAGGAAGTATCGCAGAGCGATGTGCTTCGTTCCGTGCTCCAGTCTGTGCTCTTGACACAAGGCTATCATGGCCTTGTTGTCTACGTACAGGACTGGAGGCGAACGAGGCGGCTCTCCCAAGTCGGTCAGCAAGTAGGTGAGCCAGCGTAGCTCCTGAGCAGCCATGGCTCCGGCGTAGATCTCAGCCTCACAGCTGGAGCTGAGAACTGAGGACGAGCGGGTAGAACGCTAAG